ATATGTATATGTATACATATATACATACATGCATACACACATACACAAGTATATATATATATATATATATATATATTAACACACATGGACATAAACATACATATATACGGATATATGCATGATATTCCACGTACACACACACACACATATATATATATGTGTATATATTATATGTATATACTACATCTATCACGTATATATTTATATATATTATATATAAATCTATATATTCATATATTTATACACACAGAGGAAAACACGTACACACACATATATATATATGTATATATACATAGCAAATAATATATATATATATATATGTATGCGTACATATATATATATACACATACACACACACACATATATATATAAATATATTTACGTATAAATACGTACGTGTATTCTTACACAAACCCATACATACACACACATACATGCATACATACACTCATTCATACACACACATACATGCATACATACACACGCAATATAAATACATATATACAATCAAACATATACATATATACAAACACACAGACATATATATATATTATATGTATATATATATATATAGACTTTTATTCGCATATATGTATAATATTGTCTATTTACCAAGAAGCACACACATACACGTGTTTCATATATTTATATGTATATATATATAATTAGTCTATTTTTACAAAAGTTGAATATTTATATTGATGTATATATGTACATGTATATATATATATTTGTTTTTCTATATACCTATATGTAAATGTTTTTACTTTCACGTCCGCTCTTATACGAAGCGTAGTTTGTGCTCACATCTTGAATGATCTCTTCTGCGTCTACTAGACGGAACAAACTACACCCACTTTCAAGCTGGTACTTGTTGGTGACGGAGGTACTGGAAAGACAACTTTCGTCAAGCGTCATTTAACCGGAGAATTCGAAAAGAAATATGTCGGTAAGTATTGGCGAGTATTGTAGTTGTATGGAGATTGATGTATATGTGCTTGTGCTGCACTGGATGTTACTAGCCATTATTGGCGCCACTGGATGTTACTAGCCATTATTGGCGCATGTTTTGTTTTCTGTATTGCTCATAATTGTGAGGTTACAAATCATAAATGATCCCTTTCATGTGAAGTATATATATGCATGTATGTATATTATATTATATATATGTATGTATGTTTATTATTATATTTATATATATATTATTATATTTATATACATATTAATATATATATATATATACTATTTTTTGGTCTATATATGTATAATTACTGAATTATTGTGATTAATTTTTATCTAGATGTATGCACATAGGTTTGCACCTGTTTAGAATTATTTGTGTATTATACATATGTGCCAGTATTATGACTTCTCAATAGCACAACTATATGTAGGAGTGTTCATGCCTGTAAGGATATATATTCATATGTATCATTTAGTACAAAGTTTGTGCTTAATATTATATAATTTTGTGTTTATGTATGTCTATACATTATATATATATACATGTACCTGTATGCTAAAAGTATGTACTTAAACATTTATCCGTACGGCAGGTCTAAATATTTGCATGCACTTGTTCATGCATATAGATATCTATGTATGTATACATATTCACTGATACTCGAGTAAATGGCATGAAAATGTGCAAGTTCAAATTTGATTGAGTTTACATTTGCGTATAGAATGCATTTAAGAAGGATACCTACAGTGTATAGGTGTATAGATCAATATACCCGCGAGCATTTATATGCATGTGCATATATGTATCCATATATATAATATAATAATGTATATATATCCATATACATATACATACATACAGCTATACACTCATCAGTTGCCTAGCTTTCGTACATGTTATATTTATTGTTTGCAACTTATGTCGAGTTGCGGTGGTGTGTGGTCGGATGCGAATCTACAACTATAGCCACGAGTGTGCGTACTCCTGTGCCTTATTTAGTGTATGCGTACACGAGGTTCTGTGCATATTCGCGATACCTATCTCCGCACGGTACTTTTGTGTGATTGTTTTCTCGCTGTCTATATAAGCTTCGAGGGTGTGCATGTAGTCACCTCTTTATATGTGCAGTTGTTGTATCTGCTGTAGTTGTCCTGACACGTATGCTAGCCTCTTGGAAGGATATGTGCGTCCTCAGATGAATGATTCGTCACTGGCATATATACAATATACGCTCATTGCTGTCTTGTATATCAAATCAAATACATTTGCTGCCATGTATCTCCATGTTTTATATCTTCATCATGTTTGATATCTATTATCGTGTTTAATATCTTTTATCGTGTTTTATATTTATTAAATTTTATATCGTTATATATTCATCTGACGGTGATGTATCCTGACCGTTATCGAGATTCTCACTGCTTTATGGTTCATTTCAAATGGGTCTCAAACCGTATTCCATTTCAAAAGTATGCGTGAGAATCTACGAATTCGAGTTACTTGGACCTGTTCAAGTAAATGCACCGGGTCTATACCCATACCTCACATATACGTTTATACGTACAAACCACCCGTCACGAGCGTGTACTAACACCTCTCGTGTACTTACCACACAGCCACACTCGGTGTAGAGGTACATCCTCTGCAGTTCCATACCAACCTGGGGCCCATTATCTTCAACGTGTGGGATACCGCTGGTCAGGAGAAGTTCGGAGGACTGCGTGACGGCTATTACATCCAGGGTCAGTGTGCGATCATTATGTTCGATGTCACGGCCCGTGTCACGTACAAGAACGTACCGAACTGGCACAGAGATCTGGTGCGGGTGTGCGAGAACATCCCCATTGTGTTGTGTGGGAACAAGGTGGACATCAAGGACCGCAAGGTCAAGGCTAAGAACATTGTGTTCCACAGAAAGAAGAACTTACAGTACTACGATATCTCGGCCAAGTCCAACTACAACTTCGAGAAGCCCTTCCTATGGCTTGCCCGCAAGCTGGCCGGTGCCAACAACTTAGAGTTCGTCGCATCACCCGCTCTGGCGCCCCCAGAAGTCACTGTAAGTACAATGACTGACGCGAGGACATCTAAGCGTCTCTGCTATTTAATGCAAACATATACACTCACACATATATATATATATTATGCATGTGTATATAATTCATCACTAGGTACAGATATGCATGTGAAATGTACTGAAATGCTGTCTTATCAAGCAATTCAGAATCTGCATCGGAAATCCTACACGCTTATACTACCACTGAATACTACCGACTAATTTGTTTATACTAGTCCCGTACATTACCAACCTGATACTTGCTTCCCTTGCAAGAAATCTGGTTTGTTGGCAGTTTAATTTAGTTGGTTTTGTTCCCCTCTCTCGAACATGCCGTGGTTTGTTAACTTTCGCACTCCACCTACAGGTTGATGCGCAACTGATGCAGCAGTACCAGACCGAGCTTGACGCCGCTCAAAACACACAGCTGCCCGATGATGATGATGACGTAAGTAGCTGTTGCCCAGTTCTGTGTTGATTATTCTTCTTGGTTGCATTCCTGTTCTCGATAGATGTTTTGTTGTTATTGTTGCATTTCTATATTTGCCGGACGTGATGGGGGATACATGCACTCATCGAGTGTCATGCTTCACACCGTTATATTGCTCAGTTGAGAGTTGTATACTACCGAATGTAGCAATGGGTTTGTAGCTACCAGTATACATCGTGTCATTGATATATTTGGTCCATGATTTTCTGTAAGCTTAGATAGTATCTGATAATCTACCTTGAAGATAACATTTATTACTGCTGAGACCACATGTAATTGTATTAACCTATAGAAAGTCATTTGTCGCCGCTGTATTGCTTATGTACTCATTTCTTCATACCGTTTCAACGCGTTCTTACAGTTTTGAGGAGGAATTTAGGTGTGAGATGGCGACGTACAAGACAGCAATAGACTGTATGAGAGCCTATGTTTCGGGGTTTACCACATATATACACATGTGCCCATGTTTATATATCCCGGGACTCTTTCAACTAAGCTGATATAGTTCTGGATGACCACCCCAGCCTTGAGCCGCCGGCGTGATGTTGATTTCGCAAACTGTGAGAGGGTTTTAGCAATTCTGTACGCGGGTTGATATATATCAAGCAAGATCAATAGTCGGGACGGGGACAGGAAAATATATTGTACATACATCTACTATAAAGAGTACGCTTCCTAGTTCATCATTAAAGTATTACTCAGTTATACGGCCTTGCTTAAAATATGTTTTATATATATATAGGTGTGTGTGTACGATAAATATATATACATATAAATATCTACATCATGTAAATATATATATCGTTTGTATATATTTATGTTCTTTGGGCGAATGATATACATATAAATATCTACATCATGTAAATATATATATCGTTTGTATATATTTATGTTCTTTGGGCGCAGAGCATAGTAGAAGGAGCGGCTAATTCTTCTGGTCGTATTTTTTCATCCATTACGTTGTGACACACTCTCTGATATCCAAATTGACACGTGGAACATGGACATCGCTTGGTAGTTGAATACAAGCACGTCGCAGATGGTGACATATGTTGAAATAACAGCCTAAAGTCGCTGAGAGTATAAAATAGATCACTTGGGAGTTCAGATATGATGTTATACCTGATTGTTAGATAGTCTATTGCACCCGGCCGCGTCTACGCAGTCGTGCGGGATGCATATACGAGCACAAGATATACACTGGAATCGGAATTGCGTTTCCAATTATCAAGGAAGAAATGATGAACAACAGATTGTTCATAGAGAAAATTTTATATACTACAGGCTCAATACATTCATTAGAGTTTATATATAATACCATATATATATATACACAGATATATTTTGAGCACGGTAACCGCTTATAAACCCTACCTGTAGCCAAATATATACGTGCAAACATATGTATACTTCAGTGCGTACAGATTCTTGTATGAGTGTTCTGAGAACCGCTAAACAATTTGTAGAATGTGCTGAAAATCGATGAACAATTCGAAAGTTGCAAAAATGTCGGCGCCTGGAAACAATTTGGCGTGTAGAGTGCTTTTTGAAAACTCCACAGACCACGCAGATGCGTTTCAGATAAAGTTAGTACCTTTTTCTCGTCAAACTAGATATTTTAATAGTAGCTGTCGTTGTAAATTTGTTTTTGAATGTATTCAGTATTGTACCTTGAAGCACCAAATAGCCAGTTAATCGTGGAGATTGAAGTTCTGGACCTATACAGGCATACTATGCACTATTCATTTTTTACTTGTTTTGTTAGTTTTTCCGCTACTAAATCTCAGTGTAGTGTATTTTAGACTGTAGAGTGTAGAGTGTGTAGACTAGAGAGTGTAGAGTTGCTGACTGTCGAGTGTCGACTGTAGACTACTCTATGACACTCTCTTCTCTAAGAGAGTGTGTGTGAGACTCTCAGTGTTAACAAATAAATGGACAGACGTGAGAGTCGGACAGTCGCTTGATATTTTCTGATAAAGTTTACACAAGGAGTGAAGGAGGCTATTTTATTTATTTTAAAATCACACACTTTTTTATATATATATAAAATCTTAGTACAAATATGTATTTGTTTTTACACGACGGCCCTCTGAGTCTGGAAACTGGACTCTCTGTGGAGTCTGGTCACTGGTGACAAGTGTGAGTAACTGGTGACTGGTGACTGGTCCCTGGTCCCTGGTCCCTGGATTAGTCTCGAGAGGAAATCAATAGTCGTAGGACGTAGGTCGTAGAGTCGTAGACTCTCTCGTATGTAAATAGTAAATACATGGCGGAAATCGTAAATTTAACGTCGTATGTAGCGAGGTCCTTGTCCAGACTCCAGACCTCATAGGCGTGACCCTCTCTCGCACTCTAGTCTCTACTACTACCTAGTAGTAGTAGAGAGAGAAGTAGTAGAGAAGAAATAAAATAATATGCCTGATCGGACTTTTGTCCGAAGTACCCACAGTCCCATTATCCATAGCCTTAGGGCCGTGATTTGTACGAAGATATATTTTTAATGTGCGGAGTCTGCGAGTGCGGAGTCTGCGGAGTGCGGCCTGCGGCCCTGCGGGTAATGAACTCATGACTCATGAGCCTTTGGGGCATGGCCCCATTCCACATGTCCCACGATTGATGAGCCTCTTATTTGATTTTGGCTTTTTGAGTAGTTGGATGAGGATATATGATTGGCTCTGTGTTGATGGTAAACAGATCACCTGTAGCAACAATGCCTAAATCAGAATACTATGATAGTCCTGACTGGTTTTAGGACTTTTTTTTCAAACAATAGAGGTTAAAAAGAAAATAATGAACGCGGTATGTATGTATTTATGTATGTATGGCCGCTATGGCGTATGCATCTATGCATGTGATTGTATGGGCCATGGAACTTTAGAAGTTTGGAACTGTGTGCAATTATATTGTATGTAAATGCTTTCATTTTTAAATTTAAAAAATACAATCTTTTGTGATAACATTCCAAGTTTCCAACAAACTATACTTACCAAGGCCCAAGCGCCGCAAAATTTAATATATACTGTATCTACATATCACATCGCATCATTACCTGTACCATATACACTTTAAGCAACATGACGAAGCAACTATTAAGTAAGATCGACCTCGGTGGTCTAGGCTCGCTGCAGAACCGGATAGTAATGGCAGCTTTGACGCGTGCACGTGCCAATAATCCTGAACATGAGGCAAATGATCTCATGGCTGAATACTATGCCCAGCGTAGTGGGTGTGGTATCATTCTGACAGAGGGTACGCACATCTCACCCGGTGCCATTGGCTGGGTATGTAACCTCTCTCACGGTTTATATGGTATATATATATATATATATATTAATATATACAGATATAGATATTTAGATATGTAAGAAATATAAGAAATATAATATTAGATAT